AGTCTCGTGAAATTAAGCGGAGAACCACATGTTGGTCACACACTTTTATTGAAATTGCCCTGCTGTCTGTTTATATTCTTTCAAATATTTGACGCTTAATAACTTCGGATCTACTAAGCCTAACGAGCTGAAATCTTCTACACAGACTCGTCTCGCGTGACAGATTTAATAAACAAAAAACGTTCCAGGGCCCGCCGATCCTGGGCCTCTTTGTGTTCTTTACTTATTTTTTGTCGTTAATACTCTTACATTCCGCTCCCCTATTTTAATCGAGTATTTGGCTGCTAAAAACGTCCACGTGATAAGCTACTTCGTTGAGCTATCATTTGTGGCCAGGTCACTTCTGAAAAAGAACTGGACTGTATATATCTAGTGGGCCTTACCTAGTAAAATATAATAGTCGTTAAATAGTTAAAATAGTTTTCACGGTAAAAAAACATTATGTAAAAAAGTATTTTTGATAAGGCACACACTTTTATTGGCGCTCTAAAGTAGAACACATTTTTTAAACCCCAGAATTAATTAAATTTGATGTGTTGAATAAAAGTCAGTGGTTTCCTTTCGATGTGTTCAATTTGCTTCATGGAAGCCACCCACGTTTCTTCAGCACATCACATTTGATGCATTTCTGGGGTTAAACGAATGTATTTCTACTTGAGTGCAAATACAAGTGTGTGCATTGAACAACTTGTTTTTAAACCTAATTTTATCTCGTGGAATTTTTTGTGTGTCACGGTCACTGGTGACCGGGCTGAGACCACCACCGACTCACTGCATTTGAGAACCCAGCGTTATCACATCAGCCGTACGAAAGAAGAATAAGAAGATTGCCACGGCACTCTAAATATGTTATATCAAATATTAAACCATTAACGCATTGCGATGTCCAAGCCAACAGGCGCCATCACACGAATGTGATGCGTGTGGTCACGTGGAAATTCCACTGGGCGGTCTCTCTCTCTTAGTCTTTCGGATTATGCAAAATAGTCGCAGCGTATCTTTGGTGAAACGAGACGGGGGGGGAGGGAGACACAAGCGATGGGCAGCTATGACATCTCAGCAGCGGCGGCGGCGACGGCGTGGGGGGGGGGAGGCAGAGTGGGGGCCGCGGAGATGTCCCTGCCAGATTAACGGTGTCAGGCCCCGCACGGCAACGTCAATTGCACCATGAACGCCAACACACTCTGCCGACACCACGTGATCGCATCGCGAGCACGCGTGCGCCAATATGTGGAGAGCGGCAGTGTTATGTATACGTGTCGAACTTCTTTCGCACCGTACGTAGCCAACCGCGCTAATGGGAAGGTGCGGGAGAAGGACAAGAAACTGAGCAGAAAAAAAATCAGTTCGAAAGAAGTTCGTTTTCAATCTAGATGATTGAGAAGTGCACAGCTCCACTGGCTGCGCTACAAACCCGGCGACCAGAGTTCGATTCCCGCTCACGGCCAACGCCTACGTAGCGATTATTTGAACCGGTTCTGGACCTCCCCTAGGTCGACTCAGCCTCAACGTCGTGCGATGTGTAAACATCGCTACCGGGAAGACAAAAGCGGTCGTGCGTGGTTGCTGTTCCACACAGCCCCAGCACTTGCCCCAGGCAGGCTGTCAAGGCTGCACGGCGGGGCCGTCTTCCGTGCGGGTGGAGCGGTGACGCCTCATCGGTCATCGGCGCCGCGATCGTGAACGCCCCCGCCACCTTAATTCGATTCTCCATTGAACGACTAACGACAGTGGAAATAACCTGGTCCCTTGGTCCGGTGCTGGGTCCACCACTCGTCCACCACCCCCCCCCCACCCCACAAATTGAGACCCAGAAGATAGTAATTCATTGGTATTTACCAGAGAAAATATATTGACTTAAAAAAAATATTTTCTGTCGCAAGATCGCTTTGCGCTGTTAGAAGAAAATCGTAGACAGCCGTCAATTCCACGCTTTGTTCACAATGCTCCTGGACCCGGAGCACTAAAAGTAATCGGCTTTTTACGTAATAGAAATGGCAAGATAATGTGTATTGTGAAGGTTTGAAAAAAAACATTGCCTAGGATTTAAAGAAGTTTTATGTCAAAAAGAATTACGTAAAGATGAGCGCCGTTTGAAAAGTTCGAGCAAGTTTAAATGGACCACGTGGTCATCCTTCTGCTCCCACCTGTGTGGTCAAGCAAACTTCTCCTATGACTGAGAGACATGGGGAGGGCTTCATACGGTATTGCTTTGACAAAAGGCTGTCACTGTGAGGTTGACTCGGCCCTAAACGAGTCACTGCTGCGGTTTGTGAAAACAGCAGCACTGGGGAGACAAGGCGGCCAGACGCGATGCGGAACACGTCACCCACCTGTGTGCAAGTGCCAGCTCTGCATAGGTGCAGCACTTGCCCCAACACCCTACGTAGTGGGATGTTTGTGTTCGCTCATGAATGTGCTCTAACCCAAACATCAATCATGTATCATGCTATTGTCTACGAAAACCTGTGTGTTAAGTTAGCACTATCAACATTGTAAGAGGTGAGAGTGAACATGTGATTTTTTATATTGAGCAAAGTTTTAAGAAATTAAGAGACGATGACGATGGGAGAATGGGATTCCAAAGAGGAGCAGTGCGAGGGAAGAAGCAGACAGAGAGGTGGTGTGACCTGCAGTGTGGTGAGTGAGTGAGTTGGTGAATAATGATTGAGTGGGTGAGTGAGTGACTGTGTGCGTGTGTGGGAGTGAGTGAGTGTGTTGTTGTGACCTGCAGTGTGGTGAGTGAGTGAGTGTGTGAGTTGGTTAATGATGATTGAGTGGGTGAGTGAGTGACTGTGCGTGAGTGGGAGTGAATGGGTGAGTGTGTTGTTGTGACCTGCAGTGTGGTGAGTGAGTGTGTGAGTTGGTGAATAATGATTGAGTGGGTGAGTGAGTGAGTGACTGTGTGCGCGAGTGGGAGTGAGTGGGTGAGTGTGTTGTTGTGACCTGCAGTATGGTGAGTGAGTGGGTGATTGAGTGAGTGTGTGAGTTGGTGTGTGAGTTGGTGAATAATGATTGAGTGGGTCAGCGAGTGACTGTGTGCGTGAGTGGGAGTGAGTGGGCGAGTGTGTTGTTGTGACCTGCAGTGTGGTGAGTGTGTGAGTAATGATTCAGTGGGTGAGTCACCGTGTGGTGAGTGGGTGAGTGTGTTGTTGTGACGTGCAGTGTGATGGATGAGACGACACAGCCAGTGTCTGCTATCAAACGGGCAGTGGAATGAACGAGTGAAGTTCACGGGAAAGAGTCACCACGGTCGTAGCGATGGGAGAGAGACGAGGAGGCGACTGACTGCCGGTGAGCGAGTGAGTGAGTGGCGGCAACCAGTGGGTGTGGAGCTCACCACCGACCTGACCGCTCCACCTTTCATTCTGTCAAACGCAGTGCGTGCGTACGTAGGCACCCACGCCGCACCTCTTTCGCACCGTACGTAGCAAAACCTGCGCGCGATCGGGACTGGGTGTGTGCACCACAGCGGCATGAACGAGATGTCCGTGAATCGTGGCGGGTTTGCCCTTCTCACGTCATCATCCTCGCCGGCTGAGCGACTCTGGCTGCTAAAATCCCCGCGCCTTGCCCCGCCAGCCTGGCGTCTCGTCTGCGTTGTGCCGCGTACTCCTCGACTTACGAACGGGGGGGGTCTGTTCGTAAGTCGATGCGTTCGTAAGTAGAGGCGTCCCTGTAATTGATATTCTCGCGAATGGGGGAGTTGGGGGGAGGGGCTGGGGATGGGGAAGAGACCAAGGCTGGCTGGGATTAATGAATCTCTGCTCGTGTTAATTACGTTTCTCAACAAAGACGAGCCCCCCACTCCCACCCCTCACCCCCCAATGCAATTAATTGTCAGATTTAAGCCCGACTCGAGGCCTCCCTCGAGAGGGTGACCTGAGGGTCAAATCGCTGCCCGCGGAAGACATCGAACCTGGGTTTGGAAACTTCACGCGGCGGCGAGGGGGGGGGGGGCGGCGTCCATCGGTGCCACGTGGCTGAGCTCTTTCCTTTTACGCGGAAACCTCCCTCGCCGAGTCTCGACGACTCTTGTTCTTCTGTTTTTGTTGACGTAATTCAATTTAATTGATTTGGGTTTAAACAACAACAACAGCAAACGTGCCGGTACGTTCATTCGTGTAATTGATTTATTTTGGGTTTGTTCGTCGTGGTGGTAACGATGATATGTGTGTGTGTGTGCAATCTATCTCCCACCACCACCCCACAGAGCCAATAGAATACGGTTGTCACCACGAGATGGGCAAATGTGCAAATTGATTTGTTTTTTTAGCAAGGGTTATAGCTAAACAAAACAGTATTGGCATTATACCTCCACGACCAAATGCTCAATAAAATAATGATCGATCACGATATCGGCCTTGAAAGCCTGCGTGCAACACCGATACCAACTCACAGTCGGTATCAGTGATGGAAATTATGGCAATCTGTGGGAATCATTATCCTGCCGAGGACTCGAAAAAGAAGAATAAAACCACGTCGCGTGTCGCAGCGTTGTGTGCCATTGTCACTTTGCAACGCATTCCCTCCTCGTTCGCTCGGTGGGGTGATTCGTTCGCACATTTCTTCACGCAGCGCTTCTTCGCCCTGAACTCGAAGAGGGCAGATCGGTGATCCACAGCAGCCTGGCGAGGGGTACGGCGGTGGCTGGGGGAGGGCCATTCATCCAGCAGTGGATTGAACATAGCAGTCCATGATGACGGCGACGATGATGGTGATGATGCTTCCTCTGAATTCAATTGAATTTCTCATTGTGTGCATTTGGTTACTGGGCATCTGTGCACTGATCGAGGCAAAGAAAACAACTCGACACAATCCGCGTCGATAACACCATGTGGCTTTCAAGAGTATACAATAGGCGACGTTTCGGCTAACGACCCTTCTTCGTGGCACAGAGAGAGCACGTGCCATCAGCCCCCTTCATCAAAATAACCTCACCAAGCACCCAGGGACTGCGTGTCCAGTCAAGACACATTCCTGCCATTGACACGAGGATGTTTGTGTTACTTAAGCTTTTATTGTAGGAAATAAATGTAAGTAACGACTTCGGTAAAACATTGTACGGTAATGATTGTACAGAAATGCTTGAATCATTGTAATCTTTTATTATTAAATTAACATCGTCAATACCATTTATAATTGTTCATAACCGTGACCCCATAACCTGTGTTAAGGGAGTTACTTTAATCAGATTACTGAAGCTCAATTTAGTGCCTTTCTAAATAATTCCAGGTTTAGTTGGTAATCATATGACACAACTCAGCATCTTCCAATTGGGTTGTTTACTCGAGTGATTAATCAAAATTGTTTAATTCCAAACCATTCATGATGTTGATGTTGTATGTGTGTTGAACGTATTTAAGCACCGTCGTACGTAGCCTGCCGTGCTAGGTGGAGGTACGCGTGGGGAAGGACAACAAACGAAACACAAAAAGCAGCTGTACAGAAAAAAAATGAGTTTTCAATCTAGATGATAATTGAAAGTGCATAACTCCAGTGGCTTCATAACATCGGAAGGGAAGAGCGTTCCAGACGGCCGCCAGAAGCGCACCTGAAAGTGCCGCGCGATGCGGCGACCACCGCCTTTGTTCGATGGCAGCAGCCAAGAACTGCATCGCAGTATTAACCAGGGCGGCCCGATGGCAGCAGACAAGAGCTGCATCGCAGTATTAACCAGGGCGGCCCGATGGCAGCAGCCAAGAGCAGCAGCTGCTGCTGCTGCTGCTGCTGCGAGGATGACGGCCGGAGGAATCCGCGTGATGATGATAAGTCACGATTTATGTTTGATATACAGTACTCGCTATGCCGGGGCATGTCAGGGCGCTTACGTAAGCGACAGGCAACTTGCATCTCACGGAGGGCACCCCCAGTGGCAGCTGTCCCTGGGCGGCACGAGGGGGACTCATTACCCGGCCTGCGAGCGGGCATCAGTCTGCCAGCAGGGGAGCGATGATGGCTGTGTGTGATCCCGATCTGAGTAATTGCGTGACTCAAGCGTAAAGCGACGTACATGTCAACGATCAAAACAAATCTTTGCGATTACGTGAAGACAGCAGCAGTGGCCAACCATCAATCTGCCCGTGCGGTGGAGTCGTGGAGCAGTGGCTCTCACACTGCACTATAAACGCGGTCACCTGAGTTCAATTCCTGGCCACGGTTCTCATGAGCGGTGAGCGATGTTCAAACCCATCCTGGGACCATCTTCACCAACAAGTGCTGACAGCGCGGTGAAGGATGGTAAAATAAATAAAAAACATCCCCGACTTACGAAATGGTAAGACCTTCATCCAGCAGTGGATTTAAAGAAGGCTGCAATTCATCGTGTAACAATATGGTATGTGAATGAATCATGGAGTCAGTAATCAGATCGTTATTACTAAACGTGGTATTCGCACCATTCTGATGACGCAAGGCTACCATGAAGAACGGCGCCACGTTTCACAGACGGGCACGGCCTGCGGTAGTATCACGGCACGGGGGCGGTGTTGCAATGTGTAACCCCAATCGAGTAGGTTCCGGGTAACAAGTTTCAAATTTGGACCGCGACGCAAACACACAATTAGCAACTCCTCTTGTCAAGTGACGTCACGGAATCTTTAACGTCCACCGGGTAACCCTTTCCTGTTCCGATGACGTACACGTATGTACACGTACGGCATCGCATTTTCTTCTGATCCCGTCCCGAATCGAAACGGAACCGGAAAAAAATACTTTATCGGTACCGAGGCTCCCACAAGGCCACGCGGGAGGGCGTGTGGCACAGCTTGGCGCCAGCTATCATACAGGGCGGTCTTGTCGCTACAGTCCTGTGCGGTGAGTACAACGTCTTTAATCAACAGCGGTGCTACTATGCCTCTGAATAAAATGAACGCTGAGCCGTCTGCCTGTTCCGAGATTCAGTGGTGAATGGGACACCCTCCCTGCAATTTACAGACGTCTCGGAATGGGGAACGGTTAAGATGCACCGCAGTATTAACCAGGGCGGTCCGATGGATTCAAACCGCGAACATCTGCACGTCACCCCACCACCACATGGGGATTACATATTACCTGTGAAACCTCAAGTAATCAGATGTGATTACTAGTTTGTGAATGTCGCCCTCCCAACAACACTGATCCATGATGTAAACACAGATCACCTTGAACAGTGCGACCAGTACAACTGTGTCAATGAATATAAACACTCAAAGCATTTTAATGAACTGTACAGATATCAAACGCAATCAGGATATTCTACTGCAAACTGCAGGATGTGAAATTAAAGCTTAGAAAACGACAGATTGTGCGTTGATTACCGTTCACACGAGTTCATTTCAAACTTTGTCAAAATATTGACGTTAATTTCCTTCTTTCGCGCTTTACCGGCTGAGGACCCCAACATAGGAACGATGGGGGGTACGGCAAAATCATTTCTGAAGCAGCGTTAACAAACGATACTGAAACTCGAGCGACATGTTCTGAACGTTCGGTCCGGATGTTCTTCGCGTGAAACTCCCAACGTTCTTCAATTCTTCACTCGGTAAAAACGTGACCTCCGATGCGCCGCGCACGCTTCCACGGCCGGTTGATTTCCTCCGCCGCGTGGCGGACGGATGTATCCGAAGTTCGATGCGGCATCTAAAATAATAAGCAGATGACCGTTGGAGAAAAACAAAAGTTGAGGTTTGACACGGACAAACTTACGTGTTTGTTTTGATCATTCGAGACTCGCGGAAAATTGTCCCAGGTCGCTTTTGTTGTTGTTGTTGAGGCGTCTCTTACGAGTTGGCACATCCGAAAATCAAAAGAACTTCAGACGGACGAACGACCGCTCGACTCGTCCAGCTTGACGCTTTGCCAAAAAACGCACACCTGGCGAGCGGTAAAATTGTGTCTCGTTGAGAGGGGAAAGTTGCTTGTTTTGTTTGTCAAAGTATTTACAAGACCCTGGTGGCGGTTTTCATTGCGGTGTCTCGAAAAAGTGTCTCCTCTGAAGGTCGTAGAATTCTTCTCTCGTGGGGCTTCCTTTCCGCTCACCGGCACGTGAATCAGCCTTTCTTGTCCTGCATCACAAGCAAACAAATACAAGCAATGCACACCAAAAATAAAAAAAAACACGACATGTTTTGTGTACGTGATCTCCGCATGCATTTGGCGATATTTGAAAGGTGATGCGCTGCTACGATTTCCACAGTTTTTGAGGTGACGGTTACAAATCTCTGTCAACGTCAACGTGATCATAATCATCATCATCATCATCCTCATCACATTGAACACGAAGGCATCTATGAGCAATTTTTTTACGTGACCGAAATATCAAAATTTAATCATTATATCACACTGTCCTGGGTATTAAGTCTTATTTTCTAATTTCTTATGCCTCAAAAGTACATAAATAGCTATTATTCCTTACAAACTTTGATTTTGTTACCAGGACAGTGACATTTTGAAATGTACTTATTTTCAATGATAAAACGTGGTGTGCATTTGTGTCATTCCTTCACGAAAAGTCCTGGTCACAAAAGCAAAGTTTGTGGGGAATAATAGCTATTTATGTACTTTTGAAGCACAAGCCATTATAAAATAACACTTACTACCTGGGAACCAAAATTGTGTTACGTAGTGAATGATCATCACTGTGACTCTGCGGTAGACGAATGGCATCTGACTGATCTGGCCCAGCTCTGGCTCCTCTCAGTCAGGGGGCAGTGAAGCTGTCGTGTGAGGGGCCACCACAGCAGTGGCTCACCACGAAGGCGGAGAGTGGACTTGGGCGCAAGGCCAGAGCCCAGCTCCCCCTAGCACCAGAGCCCAGCTCCCCCCCAGCACCAGATCCCAGCTCCCCCCTAGCCCCAGATCCCAGCTCCCCCCAGCACCAGATCCCAGCTCCCCCCAGCACCAGAGCCCAGCTCCCCCCTAGCACCAGAACCCAGCTCCCCCCTAGCCCCAGAGCCCAGCTCCCCCCTAGCACCAGAGCCCAGCTCCCCACTAGCACCAGAGCCCAGCTCCCCACTAGCACCAGAGCCCAGCTCCCCCCCAGCACCAGAGCCCAGCTCCCCCCCAGCACCAGAGCCCAGCTCCCCCCCAGCACCAGATCCCAGCTCCCCCCCAGCACCAGAGCCCAGCTCCCCCCTAGCACCAGAACCCAGCTCCCCCCTAGCCCCAGAGCCCAGCTCCCCCCTAGCACCAGAACCCAGCTCCCCCCCAGCACCAGATCCCAGCTCCCCCCCAGCACCAGATCCCAGCTCCCCCCAGCACCAAATCCCAGCTCCCCCCAGCACCAGAGCCCAGCTCCCCCCTAGCACCAGAACCCAGCTCCCCCCTAGCCCCAGAGCCCAGCTCCCCCCTAGCACCAGAGCCCAGCTCCCCACTAGCACCAGAGCCCAGCTCCCCACTAGCACCAGAGCCCAGCTCCCCCCCAGCACCAGATCCCAGCTCCCCCCCAGCACCAGAGCCCAGCTCCCCCCCAGCACCAGATCCCAGCTCCCCCCCAGCACCAGAGTCCAGCTCCCCCCCAGCACCAGAGCCCAGCTCCCCCCCAGCACCAGATCCCAGCTCCCCCCTAGCACGAGAGCCCAGCTCCCCCCCAGCACCAGAGCCCAGCTCCCCCCCAGCACCAGAGCCCAGCTCCCCCCCAGCACCAGAGCCCAGCTCCCCCCTAGCACCAGAGTCCAGCTCCCCCCCAGCACCAGAGCCCAGCTCCCCCCAGCACCAGAGCCCAGCTCCCCCCTAGTACCAGAGCCCAGCTCCCCCTAGCACCAGAGTCCAGCTCCTCCCTAGCACCAGAGCCCAGCTCCCCCCTAGTACCAGAGTCCAGCTCCCCCCCAGCACCAGAGCCCAGCTCCCCCCTAGCACCAGAGCCCAGCTCCCCCCTAGCACCAGAGTCCAGCTCCCCCCTAGCACCAGAGCCCAGCTCCCCCCCAGCACCAGAGCCCAGCTCCCCCCCAGCACCAGAGCCCAGCTCCCCCCAGCACCAGAGCCCAGCTCCCCCCTAGCACCAGAGCCCAGCTCCCCCCCAGCACCAGAGCCTAGCTCCCCCCCAGCACCAGAGCCCAGCTCCCCCCAGCACCAGAGCCCAGCTCCCCCCTAGTACCAGAGCCCAGCTCCCCCCCAGCACCAGAGCCCAGCTCCCCCCAGCATCAGAGCCCAGCTCCCCCCTAGCACCAGAGCCCAGCTCCCCCCCAGCACCAGAGCCCAGCTCCCCCCCAGCACCAGAGCCCAGCTCCCCCCAGCACCAGAGCCCAGCTCCCCCCTAGTACCAGAGCCCAGCTCCCCCTAGCACCAGAGCCCAGCTCCCCCCCAGCACCAGATCCCAGCTCCCCCCCAGCACCAGATCCAGGCTCCCCCCAGCACCAGAACCCAGCTCCCCCCCAGCACCAGAACCCAGCTCCCCCCTAGCACCAGATCCCAGCTCCCCCCCAGCACCAGATCCCAGCTCCCCCCTAGCACCAGAGCCCAGCTCCCCCCTAGTACCAGAGCCCAGCTCCCCCTAGCACCAGAGCCCAGCTCCCCCCCAGCACCAGAGCCCAGCTCCCCCCCAGCACCAGATCCAGGCTCCCCCCAGCACCAGAACCCAGCTCCCCCCCAGCACCGGAACCCAGCTCCCCCCCAGCACCAGAACCCAGCTCCCCCTAGCACCAGATCCCAGCTCCCCCCCAGCACCAGAACCCAGCTCCCCCCTAGCACCAGATCCCAGCTCCCCCCCAGCACCAGATCCCAGCTCCCCCCCAGCACCAGAACCCAGCTCCCCTCTAGCACCAGATCCCAGCTCCCCCCCAGCACCAGAGCCCAGCTCCCCCCCAGCACCAGATCCCAGCTCCCCCCCAGCACCAGAACCCAGCTCCCCTCTAGCACCAGATCCCAGCTCCCCCCCAGCACCAGATCCCAGCTCCCCCCTAGCACCAGATCCCAGCTCCTCACGTTGTGTTATTGATGCCACAACACTCAGGGCAGAGGAGAGAGAAGTTATTTTTGCCGTTTTGTTTAAGGCAGGAGGGAAGCCATCACACACATGTGGAATTGCCACTTCGTGTGTAACTAGCAGCTGTGGTTATTGTTTGTGTCATGGCTACATCTGTTCGGCTTAAATGGATTAGAGTAGTTATGCTGTTGGCAATTCCTTAGTGAAACGTTACATGAACGTGGAAATTAAATGCAAAAATATTAATTATTGCTGAAAAAAAACGTACGGCAGGTGTGTTGTTGAAAATCATGCCAAGATTTTCTGTGCGTTTCATTTAAATCTCTGCGAATTGGATAGCAATGCGGAGTATGCCCCAATGAGCGGCGTCTTATTTGTTTTCTTCGGAGGCCCATCACAGAGCCCGACAACTTTCTAACAAATTGCGAACTCCGGTCTCGTTTCGTTGCCAAGTCGTGGCGAAGGCTTTCACTTCTTTGTTAATGTATTCAGCTCCTGTCGCAGGCACAAGCTCGTTACTGCCATAGCAGTGCAACGCCTTGCCAGGAAGCGAAGCCAACGTTGTCGGGCCTTCAACGTTTCAAACGCAAGTTCTGCAACAGAACATGTAATCTTGACTTAAAGCTTTCGTGGCTTTACCGAAAGACCCAAAGAACACAAAATTAATACACTTTTCCTCACGCAATATGCTATTTTTGTCTCGCTTGTAAGAATAAGTCAGCTGCGGCTGCAATGATAATAATAATTCAGTACCAAGTTTTAAAATTAATGCGACGACCTTTTCATGAAAATCATTTCACAGGCGTTGTTGTGATGTTTTGCGACGAAACTGACATTTGATGATTTCACCTTTTTTTCGGTTCACAAAATCAGCACATCAGTCGTGCTGATTAATCATTTGCCATCGGTTCTGTTCACGACGTCCAGTTCGCCAAGATTAACGAAACTCCTCTTATTTAATTCTTGTATGTTGACCAGGTAAGACCCGATAATAGTTTTTTTACCCTTCTATCTGGCAACAAAACTGACACCTTTTTACAAGGAGTCATGTTTGCATAGACCGCAATACCTGCAGCCATAATACAAACAAAAGACACAACTCTGATCATGTATGCACTGTCCTTGAAGTTGATTGGTCCACACCCGAGACAGCTTTCCTTAGAGCCTAGTCTCACATGGGTTGGACCAGATGACGCCAAAAGGCGCACAACTCAAGGACAATGCACCATCAGAGTATGAGAGCTCGGGGCAAGCATCTACATTATGGGAACCTCATTTGGAGTCATGTTTGTACAGACCTGCATACCTGCAGGTATTGCGGCCTATACAAACATGACTCCTTGTAAAAAGGTGTCAGTTTTGTTGCCAGATAGAAGGGTAAAAAATCAATTATCATATTTTTACTGGCAAATGAGGTTCCCATAGTGCAGGTAAGACCCACTAAGCAATGTAGCTCTTTCATAGAGGCTATCACGGACGATAGCTCAACTAGGTGGCTTATCATCGTGTGGAAATTGACAGCGGCCAATTACTCTAAACGCGTGATGTTGATTCTAAACGTGGAGGGAAAAACCGGAATGGGGTGGAAGTAAATTTGAAAAACTGAGAGACGCAGAGTCGTGGTGGTGGTAGTGGTGGTGGTAGTGGTCATGGTGGTGGTAATCTTGGTGGAAGTGGTGGTGGTGGTCGTGGTGGTGGTAGTGGTCGTCATGGAGGTGGTAGTCGTCTTGGTGGAAGTGGTGGTGGTGGTCGTGATGGAGGTAGTGGTAGTGGTGGTGGTAGTAGTCTTGGTGGAAGTGGTGGTGGTCGTGATGTTGGTCGTGGTCTCGGTGGTGGTAGTGGTCGTGGTGGTCGTGGTGGTGGATGGGCCGTGGGGACTGCAGCTTCGACAAAGCCCCCTCGCACTTTCATTCTTCCTTCTCGCGTCGCCGTCAACGCCGTCCTCCGCTTTTACCGAACTCCGACCGCGTGTCATCTGTGCACTCGCGACCGTTCGCGTTGCGCACGTCCGCCTGGAGACATTCCCACGCGATGGGCGCTTCGCAACAATAAAAACGACTACGCCGCCGACGATCGCGACGAGAAACGCGGCGGCGGGCTCTGACCTGCGGCTTGCCGGTCAGCACCGCTTTCCTGCTCTGCTCCACCTGACGGAAGCTGCTCTCGAGGCCCTTCATCTTCGTCTCCACGCGGCGCACGTACACCAGGCCGCTCTGCGCCTTCTCGCTCAACGCCTCCAGCGTCTGCGACATGTTGTGGACCTGCACGCCCAGGAGTAGGTAACCGGGGGGGGGGGGGTCGTTGACGGCGGTGCCCTGGGGGGGCCTCGGGGGGGGGGGGGGGGGGGAGGGACTTCCGTCTTTGGCGAAGGAGACTAAACTAAAACCACCTAAACTATTAAACTCACGACATTTACAATTTCAGAACGACGTTTCGCAGGTAATTACCACCACCTTCATCAGGCCATCCATAATAGAGGTGTTTTGTTGGGTTAGATCGCGTAAATGTAAATGTGTCTTCTTGGTTCTTTCGGTAAAGTCACGTATAATGGAAATAATAAAATAATAAAATAAAACATAATAAAATAATTCTCAGGTCATAATTAAATAAGAACAGGTCTGTCGAGACGACAGAGTCAGACTCTGTCGTCTCGACAGACCTGTTCTTCACCTGAGGACGGCTGCTTGCGTTGTGGCCGAAACGTCGTGAGAATTATTTTATTATGTTTTATTTTTATTATTTTATTATTTCCATTCTACGTGACTTTACCGAAATAACCAAGAAGATGAATCCCTGCAGTCACGAAAGCTTCAAATCGAAATGTAAATGTGTCGTTAAACCCGCCACCACCCGACACGGCCAATTAGTAAAGTTTGTCACGTAAACAGAACGTGCTAATTAGTTACTAGTACAGCAGCACACCGGTTGTGTGTTGGAGAGTAAACCCACAACAACATTTACCATTCCAGTAGCGTGACGTCTCGCCAGTAATTACAACAACAACCAGCACCATCAGGCGAACAGTCACAGTTGTCATTTTGGAAGACTTGAAAATGTTGTTGTGGTTTTACTCTCCAACACACGACCGGTGTGTGCTGAACTAGTAACTAATTGGCACATTTTTGTTTACGTGACAAACCTTTCCTAATTGGCTGAGTCGGGCGGTGACGGGTTAACGCCACATTCATATTTACGCGATCGAAGCTAAAAGAACATTCATTATGAATAATATTGGTCGTGAAATCCTACGTGTTAAAAAAAGCTTTGTAGTGTTCGTGATAACAACCTGGACGGACGCACACGGATATATGTTCAGTAACCTGTGTACACGCCTGGCTTCATGGTGCACACTTGTGCTAAAATACTCACAAATTACTTCACTGGGAAAGACACAAAACCCCACAAACCAACATCGACCCCCAAGTGGCAGGCGAATGACCACGATCAGCCTGGAGCCGTGTGGACCCCGTGCCACACAGGGACAGGTTCCACTTGAGTGGGGGGGGGGGGGTTCCTCTTGAATTGTTAGATTCCAGGAGAGCATTGGAATGGTTGCGATGGCACGTGATGGACGGGCGCTTAGACAAGCACACGTGGGGCCGCCTGGAACCCAGCAGCGTGGAGGCAGCGGCGAGGATTGGTGGATCACACAGAGATGTTCCAGAACTGCCTTCCCGTGGGCGCCGAGCAAGGAGCCCGTAGCCTGCGTCGCCACGGAAGGCGGTAGAGCAAACACGTGGACTCCCATCTGGTCCGTCTGTTTGAAATAGAGTGTTTCCCCCGTGCACGCCAGGGGGTTTCTCCGGGTGCTCCGTTTTCTTGCCACTTGTATGAACAGCTAACATTTGTGGCCAGGTCGCTTCTAAAAAATAAGCTAATATCTGAGTGGGCATTGCCTGGTAATATAAAAACAAATGGTTTAGTTATATTTGTGTATATTATTACGCGATTTGATTACCTTTCCAATTCTTTGCACCACTGTCGTGTTTGCGTATCGGTTGTTGTTGTAACGTTCTAACTCGCCCCTACTGGATATCATAGCTCATCGGACTCCTCCAGTATTGATAAATATCACTGATTCTGACTCATTCATTCATTGGCCAATACCACCTTAATATATAGAGGACCGCAGAGCTTCGGGCAATTTGTTGGCGCCGGCTCCTCGCCTCCTGGGCTGCCTTGTCGGATTGCCCTGTGGGTTCCCCTCGTGCCTCTGAGCTCGCTCTCCGTCGGGAGTGAGCGGCTGTGTGGCGTAATCGGCCTGAAATGACTACCGCGGTTGCTATTATTATGATTAATCCTGGGTCAGAATTCATCAAATGTAGAAAAATATTTAATTTAAACAGGCGAGAGTGCAAATGTGAGTTGAAGGTGAGAGAAGAAATGTAGCCTTAACAGACTGTTGGGGCAAGTGCTGTTAGCGAGCGGCACCTATGAAGGGCTGCGACGGTACATGAGGGGGTGGGTGGTCACTATCACGCCCGACCGCCTTTGTCTCCCCAGCAGCGATGTTTACACACCGCACCAGGTACTCATTTGAGGCTGAGTCGACCTAGGGGAGGCCCAGAACCGCTTCAAATAATCGTCACTGGTGTTGGCTGTGAGCGGGAATCGAACTCGGGTAGCCGGGTTCGTAGCGCGGCGTAGCGCTAACCACTACACCACCGCTCCCCAGTGAGAGGTCACACACAGAGGAGAGAGTGTGAATGTGAGTTGAGGGTGGGAGGACACGCGCACATAATGGTTTTAAAGCAAGCCTCTTCTGATTCGGTTCATGAAGATGCGTCTGCGTTTCATTGCTCTCCGATGAACACCAACATCCATCCATAAAATGGGGATCCGTGCAGCGTGTGGAGGATCTGCCAAGCCCGGAGCAGTGCAAGGGGATTCAGAGCCGCGTAACGAGCTGGCCAGGTCACTGGAAATACCCCGCGATGTATTAACTCATTCACCTCCATTACAGAGGTGAGCTGCCTGCTCGTGCCACTACAGCCGTCCAAGCTGTCGCTCCTGCTGGGGCTAAGGAGAAGCGTTGCTGCCCCCAATTCTTCCTTCTGCTGCTGCTGTGATAACTTTTAATCCAATGATAATTTGCTGCTTCGACGGCTGCTGATACCGCTGCTGCTGCTGCTACGGCGGATGGTAATGATGTTGGCTAATGCTGCTGCAGATGCTGATGTAGCTGCTGCTCATGCTGACAATGATGTTGCTGTAGCTGCTACTGCTGCGGCTCATGATGCTGATGCAGCTGCTGCTGTAGTTGCAGCCAATGATGTTGCTGTAGCTGCTACTGCTGCTGCTCATGATGCTGATGCAGCTGCTGCTGTAATTGCAGACAATGATGTTGCTGTAGCTGCTACTGCTGCTACGCATGCTGTCAATGATGCTGATGCAGCTGCTGCTGTAGTTGCAGCCAATGATGTTGCTGTAGCTGCTACTGCTGCTACGCATGTTGCCAATGATGCTAATGCAGCTGATGCTGTAGTTGCTGCCAATGATGTTGCTGTAGCTGCTACTGCTGCTGCTCATGCTGACAATGATGCTGATGTAGCTGCTGCTGTAGTTGCAGCCAATGATGTTGCTGTAGCTGCTACTACTGCTGCGCATGCTGTCAATGATGCTGATGCAGCTGCTGCTTCTGCAACTGCTGCTGTAACTGTTTCTGCAGCTGCTGCTACTGCAGCTGCTGCTGCAGCTCATGCCGCCGCTGCCGCTTCACCTTGTCGAGGAGCTGTCTCAGCTGCCGCATGCGCGCGTCCCGCGAGCACATCCGCAGCTGCGGCGCCACCACGGTGCAGATGCAGCGGCCCTCGGCGTCCTGGGCCGAGCTGTAGACCTGCCAGCCCTCGTCAGGCCCCGCGGCCACTGCCGGCACCTGCACCACGAAGACAAAGCCTTAACAAGACGTAGCCTTAACAGACTGTTGGGGCGAGTGCCAAAGCTAGGAGCCGCAGCGCGCCGCCTTTGTCTCGCCAGTGGCGATGTTTACTCCACCTGCATCTGGCACTCATTTCAAAACTTAACGAGAACCAACGGCCAGGTAAGGCCCACTGAGCCATGCGGCTCTTATTCAGAAGCCACCTGGCCACAAATGATAGCCCGGACGAAGTGGCTTGTCACGTGGACACTTATATCAGGCAAATAGTCGAAACGCGTGTTTATAAATGTGGAAACACCGGAGGACCCGGAGAAAAATCCACACAGCCACGGGGAGAGAGAGAGAGAGACATGCAAAACTCCAAATATACAGCAGCAGACGTCAGGGTCGGGATCGAACCCACGACCCCCTGTAGACCAAGCGAGGAAGTTAACATCTCCTAGCCACCGCGGCGCCTCTGAGTCGACACAAGTGAGGCCCAGAACCGGTTCAGATATTCGTCACCGATGTTGGCTGTGAATGAGAATCTAACTTGGTCTCGCTGGGTTTGTAGCGCAGTGCGCTAACCACCGCTCACCACACGCGCGCACAGACACACAGACACACACACACACAGAGACACACACACACAGACACACACACAGAGACACACACACACACAGAGACACACACACAGACACAGACACACACACACACATACAGAGACACACACACAGACACACACACAGAGACACACACACACAAGGTGTTCCCCTTCTCACCAGCAGTCAGCTGCTACGTAGACACAATTCCTTGGCACAAACAAATTCATCACGTTACTCGCTCACCTCTCAATGCAATCGTCAATAACACTGCCCTTAAATAGAAAATACGCAATATATAATCGCCACATATACGTGCTATGAAGAATAGCCATTGTCCAAAATGTTGCTTATTATACAGGGTGCTTCAAGAATGTTTGAACAATTCTGAGAATTTACAACAACACCACTAGAAATGTGCCTCCGGGCTCTGGAGACCACCTTGAGAAGATTCCAGGCACGCGTTGACAACGATGGCGAACAAGTGGAGACCCTTTGACTTTTTAAAGCTATTAACATTAATTTGTTATTAATGTTACAGTGCATTTTCCGTTGTTTTCCCATTAAACACATTCCTGCGGAGGGAGCTGGTAGGAACGTTGGGTTTCTCGGTCAATGGCCAGGGTCAACGGCGGCGTGGTGTATTCCGCAAATATGCCCGACTGTGAGGGCGGGCACAAGCCGGCGTGAGTAGGTTAAACGTTGAGTTCTATAAGGGCACCACGGGGTGACCAGCCCCTCCCCACCCAGCCCCACCCCTCCCACCCCCCACCCCTCCCCACCCTCCCCACCCTCCCCTCCCCACCCAGCCCCACCCTCCCCACCCAGCCCCTCCCTACCCAGCCCCTCCCTGTACGACGGACAGACGGACACAATAATCCCCTGTGGGCTGGTGGAAGTGTTAACATTTATTTGAAGCACCCTGTATATTGTTTTCTTTTAAGGCCACATGCACTTTTAAATTGATATTGTAAACTATATTTTTTTAACTGCTAGAGTGGTTGGCTATGTACGGTGCGAAAGAAGTTTAACACATGTACACACACACATACACGCGGTGTTATTGACGAAAATGTAGAGTTTTGTTTTGCTATCTATGCTCGATGCACCGCTGCCAATGCAGCAGCAGCCACAGCAGCAACAGCAGCTCCATCACCAAGCCATCTGCTGTTGTGACTATTCTCAAATGCAATGCGTTTGTGTAAATATCGAGACACGCCATCTCGGCAGGAGAACGCTGCAGGCTGAACAACTAAGACCCTCGTGACGTCACGACGTAACGGCTCCACGTGACGTCACGACATGACGTCTCCACGTGACGTCACAAAGTCACGTCTCAAAGTCACGTGGCGACGTCACGAGGTCGGAGCGCCGCTCAGCCACAGCGGGGACGGCGACTCCCGTCCACATCGTCCGCACGCCACGTGACCACCGCCGCGTTGTAGAATGCAGCAGCGTGCACAGGGCTGGTGACGGGACGCATTGACTGGGGCCACTCATACTTGACCCTCCCCCCTCCCACGCCACTAGATCTGAAGAGGGGGGAGAGGAGCTTAGCTCGGTGTCACCCGTCATGGATAGACACCGACTCAAAACTTGGGCCAGTGAATCATCACCTCTCTTACGCGGCTGGGACAGGTCCGCTGCAAGGTAACGATGCTAACCAGGGTCACAACCAGGGTCAAATTACAAAGATCCCCCGTGTAGCCTTGACAGACTGTTGGGGCAAGTGCTGTTAGCGAGCAGCACCTATGAAGGCCGACACGGCACACGAGGAAGTGGGTGGCAAGCACCACGCACGGTCACCTTTGTCTCCCTAGTTGTGATGTTTACACACCGCACCAAAGACTCATCCGAGGTTGAGTAGACCTAGGGGAGGCCCAGGACCGGTTTAGATGAACGTCTCTGGTGTTGACTGTGAGTGGGAATCGAACTCGGGTCGCCGCTTTCGCAGCACAAGGCGCTAACCGCTACACTACCGCTTCCTCAAATATATACTCGCACGCACACACACGGAGTGTTAGCAACAATCAAAGGGCTCTGCAAATACAGACTCGATAATAATTTTCTATTTGAATGATTACAGCCTTTTCATGTAAATCACTGATCAAAACGTAGCCCATGCTCAGATCTCACAGGACGCACATGATTCGCGTATTCCACCTCTCTGTGCGGCCTTCCACCGACGAGTTCAAGGGTCGCGGGGTCACAGCGATTTGACCTTGGATTTGGCTCTCGTTTGCCGTGTCCTTCTCCTTCGACCCCTCAAAGACACCGACCGCCCGCTCCGAATAAAGGACGCGATCATAATAATTCACAACTCTGATAATAACTCAGAACCCCGAGTCGATCCGCTGCCGGTTGAAGGCTCCGCTCCGCCGTGTTGATTTGCCGGGGGTTGCTTCACCATACTTCACCACGCTGGTCAGTCCGCATCGGTGAACAGGGTTCAGATATCGCTCACCGCCGCTGTGCCCGGCCGGCAGGCTTTTGAGCGGCAGGGCGAGCGGCTCGCGCGCGGAAAGTTGCGAATTCACATTCCTGGTTGCGGGGTTGACTCGGCTCATCATCTCTCCCGGGGGTCGATAACATAGCTACCACTTTGTGGGAAAGTCAAGATCATTTGTCCTGTGAGTAGACTGGCCCCTGCCAGAGGAATGCAGAATTTCCACCACTCGCTCAGCGGCTGTAAACGGGAGACGACGATCAGAGCAGGCGAAGCGCTTTGACTTGTTGTTGACTCGGACCTGGGCTACGGGCTTTCTCGGCGCAATGCGCTCACCGCTGGCGCCATGACGCCTCCCATCGTGAGCCGTCCGTGCTCTGGGGGCAAGCGAACGGTGGCACGGACGAGGGGGCATCGATCGGTGCGAGGAGGACCGGCGGACGAAGATGAAGCGGCCGTTACGCGAACGCGCCGTCCTCCGTGATCGCAGTAAACATTGATCGTGGGGCACACTGTGGACACGCTTTGCCGAGAGAGAGAGATAGAGGAGAGATAAACGTTCGTCCACGGCTCATCTCGCATCTCACCGTGGGTGGCAGAGGCACCTCTCCCGGCCCGCGCATCAGCTCACATTCCTCGGCCTCTAACCGAGCCGGGAGTATTGCTAGATTTCCTACTTTTACTCTCTTTGCTACTCTTTTATATTTCACCAGGTAAGGCCCCACTGAGCTACGTGGTTCGTTTTCAGAAGCGACCTGGCCACAAATGATTGGTCAACGAAGTGGCTTATCACGTGGACATTTATATCAGCCAAATATTCTAAACGCGTGGTGTTTCTAAACTGTGCAGCAAAAAAAACAGAGGACCCGGAGAAACATCCACGCGACCACGGGGAGAGAGAGAGAGATATGGCAACTCCAAACAAACAACAAAGTCCCGACACAGACACGTGCGTTGTCTGCGTCGTGAGTGGTGGCGCAGTGGTTACAGGTCATGAGTTCGATCCCTACCCTGACGCCTGCTATATATTTGGAGTTTGCGTGTCTCTGTTCCCGTCATCACGTGGATTTTTCTACGGGTCCTCTGGTTTTCCCCTCCACATTTAGAATCAACATCACGCGTTTAAGAGTATGTGGCTGCTGTACATTTCCACGCGATGAGTCACTTCGTTGAGCTATCATTTGTGGCCAGGTCACTTCTGAAAAAGAGCCACATTGCTCAGGTGGCCTTACCTGCATAACATAAAAGAAACATCGTACAAAATATATAGCGTATTCATAAGACGACCTTCGGTAAACTCCCCCGGGATGCGGTAGTCATTTTATCAACCCCCGGAGGGATGATGGGCCCAGTCAACCTCAAAGCGAGGACTTGACCTCACAACCTCGCGATCGCGTGCCGCTCACGCTGCCGCTGAGGGCGGGCAGTGTATGAGACGATGATTATGCTCCGAGCACGCTCTCACCGAGATGGATGAATCTGCCAGATCTGGTCACTGCTGTTTAACCCCCCCATTGTGAGTGGAGCAGATGGTCACCCCAATCTGCTTAACTCCTGGAGCTGTCGCGCAGCGTGAAGTTAACCGTGTCCGGCACCCTGTCCATCACCGCGCCACGGCCTGCCATGCTCGCTAACCGGGCACGCGGAGGCGTGCTCAACGTCTTTACACGCGCGCGCACAAAGGCAAAGGTCCCCCGTGTAGCCTACACAGACTGCTGGGGCAAGTGCTGTGAGCGAGTAGCAGCACCTATAAACACACAAAGACAAAGGTCCCCCGTGTAGCCTACACAGGCTGCTGGGGCTGGTGCTGTGAGCGAGGGGGTGGTGTGGCCAGCACCACGCCCGGGCCAACATTTGATTCCCCAATTCTGATGTCTGCACACTCATTTGGGGCTGCGTCGACCTAGGGGAGGCCCAGCATCGCTTCGGACGTTCGTCACTGTTGGCCGCGAGCGGGAATCCAACCCAGG